GCCCAAATTCACTCCCTATTTAATCGCGATCGGACGGTCCAGATTAAAAGCGATGGACGGCCTAGATCAAAAGCAGATGGGTATAAATAACCCCATCCGTACCCAAATCCTAACCCTAGCCGCCAGAGCCCCTCGCCGGAGAAGATAGCCCAGCCGCCGAGGAGCCGACCACCGCCACCCGCCGCCGCACCGGAACAATTTCCGATCGCCAAACGAGGTAAAAATTCTACCATTTGCTCATAATTTGATTTCAAACCCACCCATGACCAAATCAGAATGAAAGAACCGGCCAATTGGCCAGAAAATGACGCCGAAACTCAGCGACGCCGCCGCGGGGTGTTTCGGTTTTCGCCTCCAATGAGGCCCTTTCCGATTCCCGTTCGATGTAATTTTTCCACCGTTTCCTCCTCTACAGGTTGACTGGAGCAAAACACCCAACCGCAACGTGAGCCGGAGGAGCCGCCACACCGAAAATCCCCACCGTCGGTAAGTTTCGGTTTTCTACATTTTTTCGGCCCACCGAGGGCGCTAAGTGTGTTTTCTCACAGGAGCCGATGCAAGTTTGGGTGAATTCGACCGAAAACAGCCAGCTGGAGCACGGCGGATCGCCACCGCGGGCAGCGGTGCCGTCGCCGGAGCACGGCGGATCACCGTGCCGGATTTCTGAAATTGGCCGAGCAGGCCTTGGGACTGAGTTTGGGTTATTTGGGACATTTGTAGGTACTGTAAGTGCGTTTCAGTTCTCAAAAAAAAAATTCAGGGAACCCAGGGACCGCCCATAGGCGCAGTAACCATTTAACTTTTCGACGTCAAATCAAGTAAGGACTTCTCACCCTATTTCCTATCATGAAATTGAAGTTTGAATAAATGATAATACTGTATTTTGTACAAATTAAATAGATATGCATAATTAATTAAGGTTGCTAATGGAGCCCGAACCGAACATTATTCTCTGTCGATTCCTGTTTGATTTATTTTACAGTTTAAATGCATTATAATATCTGATTTATCTATTCTATGGGTTTTAAATGCATGTATTACTGTCTCACTTGACCACTGCGTGATTTTGGAATTTAAGATATGATTGTATTACCGGGTGCATATTTATTGTTTATGTGATTATGTTTAACTTGGTAACGGAGACTAAGGGAAAACAGATAAGGTGACAGCCTCACTAGATATCCTAAGAGATGGTGGACGGACCGGGTTCATAGGGAACCCTACCGCGAACGTAGTCTCATACCAGACGGGATATGGAGACTTAGTCATTTGGCGCTCATACCGGATGGAGTATGAAGACGGCCCTGGAATTAAGATTGTTAAGGAGAATGGTTCACGTGTAGCGGGAACACCCATATGGATCCACATGAATACTAGTAGGCTGGTGAAAACGAGAAACGGTAATAATCAGTTATTATTAATGCATACGAATTTATGATATATTTTATGTTATTGATTATGCATGAAATTGTGATTTGTATGATATTACTGCTTCTGAAATTTGTTTCCATCAATTCCCCGATGGTAAGAAAAAAGGTAAATGGTTTTATTTTAAATAAATGTATTGGTTTAAATCTACTGCTCCATTGGTTGTTTTGATTTTCTACCAACTTTTACTTCTGTGACGGTGATATAGTGTGATGTCGTTACTGAACTAGTGTACCTCATTCCTTATTTAACCATTTCAGATCAGGAAGACCTGCTTCCCGAACCCGATCCACAAGAATACTGCAAGTAGATGCTAGATGTTTTATAGTTTCTTTAATTTTTCTCATTTCTCGTATTTCTTTCAGAGAACTTATTCTGTGATGTTGTTTAGTACTTTTAAGTTATTGTGTAAGGGATGTTAACATTAATCTTTTATTTCGCTTCCGCACTCAAATTATTATATGCATTTCTTTTTGAATTTTCGGGGCCGTTACAAGCAAGATATCTTCCGCTTGCTTCCTCTTACATGCCAACCTCTTTCAAGCCAAAATTCATCCCTCACTGAACCGGCAAAACCCCAACTAATACCAAGAATGCTGTAAACCATAGTCCAAATTCTATAAGCCACTAGACACCAGAGTAGCAGATGATTACAATTTTCGTCCACCCCTTTACATAAGTAACAGACATTCACCAAGATCTTGCTTCTTCTTCGGAGCTTGTCAATAGTATGTATGCATCCCATGCTAGCTTCCCAAGCAAAGAACGAGATGCAAGGTGGGACTTTCACCTTCCAAATCTACCTATATGGGATACATTAACTACTGTCATCATGCCTGAAAAGCTGCCTGTAGAAAGATTTAACAATGAACACTCCTTCTCTGTCTGGCTCCACATAAGAATGTCTCTACCATCACCAAGAGTAACCTGGGAAAGAGTACCAAGTAGCCTATTGCATTCTCCAATCTCCCAGTCATTTAGAGGTCTCTGTACTAAAATCTGGCACTCTCTCACCCCTCCACCATCTTTAAAGACAAATTGTACAACTTAGTCTAACACGAAAGTACGTTAACTGAGAAAATTCTTTCTGATTGAAAGAATTACAATGTGCTTAAAGAGAAAATCAATGACATTTTTCAAGTCACAGAGAATACTGCTAGGAGCAGGTTCTCCATTTATTGTGTCCATGGTCAAAAAAAAAATTATTGCATCCATGACATTTTTGAAGTTCAGTAGTATGGACGAAAAGAAGTTATTGCGTCCATGGTGTTTAGCGTGGGTGTATTACAACTAGTATCAAAACATACTGATACTCATGAAAGGCAATCATGATGAACATGAGAACTCGGGCAACTTCTAGCAAGTGTCTTATCTTCTTCTTAGCAATCTCATCCTAGCCACTAGAGCTGCTGCAACTAGTCTAACACACACGCAAATCAAGATACTCATGAAAGGCACCATCCATGTATTCCATGTAACTATCAATTTAAGGAATTTTGATTTTTCCATCGAACTATATGAGACCATTCTGTGTACTAACTTAAACAAGAAAAGACCTCATTTTGGCATGCAAATGATAAATGTAAGCTATTCTAGTGCAACAACCAACGAATGAGAAAACCAACTAGAGACAAATAATGACACATTTGAGCAAAACCTCACACGTCAAAACAAATAGTCATAAAAAATACGTAACTTTTATTGCCAGTCAAAGGATATAACATTTTTACGTGTTTTGGAAATTCATTCAACCAAAGACTCTATATTGTACTTCTTAACAAAACTAGGATAAATCATTTCTTAAACAAGAAGAGATGGATGATCTAATCTTTTATGCAACTGGATATCTCGTTTATTACCGAATATAAAATTGCCTACTATAGCTCGAAATCTAGAAGAGATCAAAGAGTCATTACCCTCCGCTGACACATAGAGCCATCTTGCAATGTAGCATAGCCAACCATTTTCCCGGTTTCTAGTTCCTGAATAGGATAAAATTCAACTTTGCATTTAAGGTCAATGGTGATTGTACTTATAAGCAACAGGTTACTAGAAAATTCAGGAACATGAAGGACAGAAGAGAGTCTACTGGAGGGTTTGCTAGTAGTGGAACCTTACCAATAATAGGCAATAAAAACTTGTTTGCAATATGGATTTTATCATTACCTGAGCATGGTTGTATAGGTTTAAAGATGTTTCATCATATGGCTTGAAGCACATGAATCTAATATTTACATGTTATTTCATTCTTTAAGAATAGCAAGAAATGTTCTACTGACTTAAACAAAGTTCGATGAGATCACTGTGGATGAATGAGAGTCAAGCTGTGATAAAAGATGCCTTAGGATCTGTACCTCTTCTTTGAAAAAACTTCCAGCACTGAACTTACCATTACTGACTTCTGCATTTCCTTAGCAACCTTATTAGTGTAATTTCCCCTACTGTTTATAAAACAGTAAACAATCTCCTAGAGTGTCAACTTTCTCTGTTCAAGAAGAAGCCAAGACATGCAATGCTGTGAAGTAGGCAATGTGTCATAGACGACTATTACTTTCTGCCTGCAGGTGAACCGACTTTTTTGTCCATCAAAACAAGATGTGTGACACTGCGAGGAACTTCATGTCACAGGCACACCACCGTTTTCCAACTGCAAATGGCATGTTGGCGCACTCTGTCCACTACCAGAGGCCAAATCATTAGGAAGATTGATTCAAACGGCATTTCAGCACTCTCCCTGGTTCCTGAGTTTGTTCCCACTAATGGTATTGCTGCACCGAGAAAAGTAGAGACTGAATTGAGTCGCCTGCACCATATCTAAGAAAAAAAGGAAGGTGCAGAGCTTCCAAATAAGTTGGCTTCAGGAACCTAAGACCCTAGGGAGTGCTGGACAATCAGGTTTTCGAGTAGGCAGCAATCATAGGCATAGCTCTAATTCCATGTTGAAACAATAGTAGAAGTAGAGAAAGAGAAAATTTTTCTGCATAGCCTGAACTGATTTAAATGTATTTACACAAAATTTTAATAATGAGAAACTAAGGATAAAAGCACAATAATATGTTTCTAGAAGTTAGGGATTTACAAATAAATATAGAACATCTACAAGATTGAATCTAGTAGTCAAGAATACATTCTTAAAATCAAATCTGTAATATTCTATCTACACGATAAAATCTGGTAGTCAACAATTCATTCTTAAAGTCAAATCTGTAGTATTCTAGATAATCAACAAAAATAAAGAAACTACTTTTCCTCGTCCCAATAGGTACTGTATGAATGATGATAAAAGAAAGAAACAGAACAATTTCTCAGGGGATTTGTTCTCTTTTTGATAGCATTAGATAACATTTGTCCCAAGGGATGTGAGAGGTGTTTGGGAAGGCATTGGGGGTAGGTATGGTACTGGTCTATGGAAGAGCATTACTGCGGAGTGTGGCTGCTGGAGTGAGTGTGTGAGGTGGAGGATAGGGAGAGGTAACAATGTGTACTTTTGGACTCATGACTGGGAGGATGGAGGCTGTCTAAGAGACAGATTTTCCAGAATATATGCTATTGCTCATAACAAGAATATGCTGGTGGAAGAGGTGTGGAGTAGGGATGGGGGTCCTGGGAATTGGAATGTGATGGTAAATAGGTACCTTAATGATTGGGAGGTGGAGGAATATGAGAATCTACTTCTTATGCTTTCCAAAATTTCATTCACTTGACAATGACAAGCTGGTCTGGAAACATAAGAATAACAGGGAGTTCTCCGTGAAATCTTATTATGGCTATATTGTGGGGGAGAGGGGCTGTAGCCAGATGTGCTATCCTGCTAAACAGATTTGGAGGGCGCAGGCCCCACCAAAGATTGCTTTTTTCACGTGGGAAGCCAGCAGAAACAGCAGCCTTACGTTGGATAATCTTATGAGAAAGGATATGGTGATGGTCAACAGATGCTATTTGTGTAAAAGGGAGTTAGAGACTGGCTATCACCTCCTTCATTGTTCTGCTGTCTATGAGCTGTGTCTATGATTTTCAGACTTCTTGGGGTCAGCTGGGTGGTGGCGGGTTCGATCAGAGAGGAATTGGGGGCTTGGGCTGGTCTGGGTAAAGGGAAGAAAAAGCTAATTAGATTAATTCCTCTCACTGTTTTTTGAATTATATGGAAATAAAGAAATGGTAGGGTTTTTGAAGGAATTGAAAACGACATTGGAAAAATTAGGACTAGATAGGTTCCATTTATTTGGATCTCTAATTATTGGGCATAATTTGTATAGAGTGGATGATTTTGGGTATATAATAGATTGCCTAACAAATATGTACTACTTTTGTACATTGGTTGCATCCCTTCAGTGCTTTGTTAATATATCTATATTTTTTATTTCAAAAAAAAAATCATTTGTCCCAAACCTTATCTACCTTGTTCAAAGGTCATCCTCCCTTCATGGAGAAGATCTTGGAACCTCATTGATATTTGACTTTCAATGTTGTGTAGTTACTTTTGTTCTTGGGTGGCATCCCATTGGTGTCATGTTCATAATATTTCTTTTTTTATTTAAAAAAATAACAGTATACTAACATATCTCATGGGCACAGAGGACACTGACTTGAATTATATCATCCTCCATAATATCCTTTCCGCCCGTTCTATTGTCCATGATCACTGGAAACCAAGCCGAAAAGTTGCATTTGAAGAAGCAAAGCATGACCAGAACAATTACAAGAATTGGAAAATGTGCATCTTTTACCTGTAACAAGGAAAGTAGAAACATAACCAAATTTAGCCTTCTTACAAATTGAAAAAAATATCAAGCCCAGACACAAGAGATATCATTATTAGAGAGAACCATAATGAATATCAGCTTTAAAACTAATCAAAAAGAAAGGGCAGACACAAAGAAAGCCAGCACTTGATGCGAACACTTTATGAAGCCTTTTGGCCACAAAGAAGGTTTCTCTGCTGAACCCATTCCTATTGCTGCTGATAATACCAATACTGCGAGAAAGCTCTTACAATTGAAAGCAACATGGCTTTAATCACCAGAAAGCATTGAGTAGTTCTTATCTTTTGACTAATATCTAGATGAACTTGATTTTATTTTAGCCAATCTGTACCAGCTAATCCCTTACTAAATTACTAAATTCCACAAATCTCAAGGTGATTCAAATTTGACATGGTTGAGAGGAAAATCATTCTTGGAATAAATACAAGCTTGTCCCATCAATTTGATAAGCAAAAGACTTCAAAATTGAACACTTAAAACAAATTCACTTGTTGGGGGAAAAAAAAGAAAAAACAATAAAAACCACTTAGGGTTAATCAAGGAAAGAAATTCACTCAAGAAGGAAAAATGAACTAACAGAAATTCATGTGAAGCATTTGTAGATCCAAAATAACACGAGTACACCTCTCCAGATGTTCAATTTTTTTTTTAAATAAAAGAGAAATATTATTATGAACAATACTACCAAAGGAGTACTGCCCGTATACAAAATAGATTTATATCTCAGTCAAGTGGTCGATGACCATTCCAATATCGTTCCAATCTTTCATGTCATGACTCAATAATATTGAACCAAAAGTATTAACTCATTTATCTCTAATTTTTACAAAATCAGTTTCTATGTTCTCAAAAACTCTCATATTTTTTTCCTTCCACACAACCCAAAAAATGGTAAGTGGAACAAGGAACAATTGTCTTTTCTTTTTGCATATACCCGACCAAGCCCATAACTCCTTGCCAACAGCGTCCGCACTGACCCAATTTAACCCCATCATCCCATAGACTGTCGTCCAAATATTGTAAACAAACGGGCAATATAAGAGACGATTGCATGATTCCTCAGCACATTTGTAAAGATAGCATCTGTTAACCAAAATGTTGTCTTTCCTTTTCAACATATCAATAGTAAGGATACTGCCTCTACCAGCTTCCCAGGCAAAAAAGATATTCTGGGAGGAGTTTTTGACCTCCAGATCTGCCTATATGGTGCTGACAGCAAAACATCATCCCCTTTATTGCAGAAATTGTAATATGACTTTACCGAGAAGCACTTCTGCTTGTCAAGTTTCCAAAATCTGCTGTCCCCAATTTCCGTCAGCTATATTTGGTCAAACAGCCAAGCAAATTGCAATATTCATCCACTTCCCAATCCTTGTCCAAACAGCCTCTCCAGATGTTCATAAAATGTATGGTATCCCATCAAACTCAATGTTCAGATTGTAGCATTCAGATTATAAATATAGATACCAACCTTTCAAGTAACTGTTTGCCATTAACTGACGCAGGATCCTAGTCCTATTTTAAACCATAATCCAATTCACCTAAATAGTTCAATTGCCATGAACGAAAATTCATTCGCCCCATATCTTAGTTTTGCAAAGCAGCAAGTAAATATGGTAGATGACTCGCGTCAACTCCAAAATGCTAACAATTTTTAGAGAACAAAAAACAAAATAACCTCTATTCCAATGGCATCAGGAAAAAGATAATAATAATCACTATGCTAAAGAATAAACAAACACAAACCTCGAATTAATCTGTTGGCCTCTTTCTGATAATCCTCCTTGTTCACCACAGAAGTCCAAGTTGCCACAGACTCAGGCCACCATTTTGGCAGCTTCTCTTTGACCCGAACTCGATAACTAGTTGGTCTTCTCTCGAAAACCTGACCCAGAGACACGGGATTTCTCGAAGACCGAAACTCTTGATCGTTCTTTTTTATCCCCACGATTACTTCTCTTCCTCCGAGGCTCCGATCTCTTCTGACCACCACATTCGGTTTTGACTCAAATCCACGCCTGAAGGCCGAACAAATTTTAACCAAAATCCTAATAGCAAAAACAAAAAGAAATCCCAAAACAACCAAACTTCCAACAAATTGCATTGTTTTCCGGCGACATGAGACCACGATTCTTCTATTATCATCAATGGTGATAAGACTTTGCAAGTCCAGATAAGCCTCTCTGCCCAGATCGAGAAATTGGTGAAATCTAGAAGAGGCAACAGCCGTTACTTGGTTCAAGTCAAGGACTAAGCTGAGATTTTGAGCATCGGAGGAAGGAATGACGAGGATAGTCTTGTTGTTGCAGTTACTGTTGTCAACTGGTTTGGTGGTGGAGATTCTTCGTGAAGCGCGAGAACGACGGCGTTTAGGAGTGGAAAAATAGAGTGAGGGAATATTCCGGGGAGAAGTTTTCATGGTGAAGTATGGAGAAGAAGAAGAAAAGGGAAGTGTGTTAACACAATTCATTGTCTTCTTTACACATGCCAAGCCTAGAAGAGAACTTAGCTTGAAAACTTCATGACGACAATGACGATGACGGTGACGGTGACGGTGACGGTGACGGTGACGGTGACGGTGACGGTCGAGAAGATGAATAAGCAGAAGGAGCGGATGTGCGAAACGAGAGTGAAGTATATGGCAGCTTGGGTTGCTTAGGGAGAACAGACCCGTCGCTGCAGTTCGTTTGAAGTAACGGTCAAGGAAGGATGCCTGCTTTTATGCGGAAATGAGAAGGCAACCGTATCTTATCAAGAAAAGTTCATGTTTTACCCCATATATATACATATATATATATATATTTGAATAACATATATATTATTATATATATTCTTGATATTGCATCCACAATTTAATTGAATCAAATAAAACAAAACCACGAATGTCTTTTATGAGAAAAAATAATATTACATTACTTAATCATAATCATCTTATCAAAAAAAAAAAAAAAGTTAGAAAAGCTCTTGAAAAAACATAAAAATTTAATATGTAATATCTTTAATTCTATAGTGTCCTCAAATAAACAATGATTGAAAAATCCTTATTCGTCCCTCCCAATTTGCACATGTTAGATCATCATCACTCTCAAACTGATGCATCAACCTTTATTTTGAAAATACCCAATGGTGGAGGCTCTCATTTTCATCATCACTCTCAAACCGATGCATCAACCTTTATTTTGAAAATACCCAATGGTGGAGGCTCTCATTTTCTTATTGTATTCTGATAAACCAAGAAGATCTCAATAAAAATCCATAAGCATCCTAAAGTACCTAGTGAACATGGAAAGCTAGTCGTTGTGGAAAAAGTCAACTAGTATCCCATTATCCTCATTATCTCCGCCAACAGATGTATCTCATTATACTCATTTTTCTATTATCTTATTTTCGAATTCTGCTATGTAGATATAGGAACTATTGTAAAAAATTTTACAGTTAAGCATTGAAGTATCAACAATAAAGGAGTTTCATTTGTATCTAAAAATTATGATTTTTCTCGCCCAAAGTGGAAAGCTTTTCTTATTACTTATTTGATTCTGATCGAAAATTATCAATTGGTATCAAAACTAGGCTGCCAATAACGCTTAAGAAGGAATGAATCAAGAATCTGGAGATCAACTTGAGCAGCTTGCAAGGCAGTGTGAGCTGCATAGAGGTCAAGATGGTCGACAAGCTCCAACAAGTTGAGGAAACTCTTAAGCGTCTTACGGAAAAAATTATCAAATAGATAAGGCTCTAATAATAATTCCATGAGCTGACCTAGTTAGGCACAACCGACCCATGATGACAGTACCAAAAAAACTGACGGGGTTAACAATTTTTTTACTCAAAATTAGCAAAGTTAGAGTTTCTCACTTACTTCATCGAAAAACCCACCAAGTGAATGAACCAAGTTGACCAGCTCTGCATGTTTCAAGGGTTGCCATAACACATAAGGTCTCACTGGCTTCCTTTCATCTAGAAGGGTAGACCAATCAGTGGTGGCAGTGGATGCAGCCGACATACAGGGAAAGAGAAAGAGATGCCACATGGGTTACATATGTGGACAAGCTTTGGCTAGTTTTAACCTAACTAAATGTGAAGATTTTTACAAAGCCCTATCCAAAATCAAGCAACTTGGCCTGTTGTGTGAGTATCAAAAGGAATTTGAAAGGCTTGGTAACCAAGTCCAAGGATGGACCCAGAAAGTCTTGGTGGAAACTTTCATCGCTAGCTTTAAGCCCGAAATTACTAATGGCATCAGAATATTACGGTCAAGTCTCTAAAGAAAGCAATAACTTTAGCTCATATTAGAGAACACAAACTGGACCGGCAACGTCAGTCTAACTGGTCCAGGCGAAAACCACCCACTCAGAACCAGCAAGCCCCAGTCACTCTTCATCAACAAACCCTAGCTACTCCTCTCATCACCACTAAACAACTCTCATGGGATGAAATGTAGAGACAGCGAGCGAGCACAAGGATTGTGCTTCAATTGTGACAAGAAATTCACAACCAGCCACAAATGCCGCTGACTGCAATTGTTTCTTCTAGAAGGCAATGAAGAAGAAGAAAATGTTGAACCTGAGAAAGCAGAGATCTATTTCCATACTCTCACCGGGTAGTCAATGGCCCAAAACATGCAAATAGTTGTCACCATAAGAAGCCATGAAGTGATGGTCTCGATAGATAGTGGCTCGACACACAATTTTAATGGTAAACGCATCACCAATCTGCTTCAACTGCTAATGGTATCAACGTTACCGTTTATCTTGAAGGTTGCAAATTGAACTCTCTTAAAATGTCAATGCCAGTTTGAGAACATTATAATCAAGCTCCAAGGTATTTCGTTCACCCTCTATATGTTCTATCACTAATCGAATTACATGAGTTGCTAGGGTATAATGGTTAGAGAAGCTGGGGATAATCA